CTGGCAGGGCGTACGTGTTGATGAGGTGGACCTTGTTCTTCCCATTAAGCTGGCTCTTCAGGACCTGTCTTATCCTTTGGTGGTACTTGGAAATTGCTATCTTCCTTGCCTCCTCATTGTAGTTCCCATGTGACTGTGGGATACCAAGGTACTTATAGCTGGTCTGTATGTCTGCTATGTGGCCCACTGGTAGTTGTACCCCATCAGTCTTAACTACCTTCCCTCTCTTTACTACCAGCTGGCTATACTTTTCCAATCCAAATGACATCCCAATGTCCTCACTGTAGATCTGTGTCAGATGGATCAGCGAATCAATGTCTCTTTCACTCATAGCATACAGCTTGATGTCATCCATTTAGAGGAGGTGGCTGATGGTAGTTCCACTCTTGAACCAGTCCTTGTGATTATCCAGCTGAGGGGGTTCAAGCCTATGCAGAACAGCAGGGAGGGACAGTGCATCATCTTGGTATATACCGTACTTATTTTATTTTATTTTACTAATCAAATTTATACGCCACCCATCTCACTGTTTAAGTGACTCTAGGTGGCTTGATGGCCACTTGGGTGAGTTGTCTTGTGTTGATTTCCAGTGTTGTCCTTCACAGTCCCATTGAGTTCTTGAGGAAGATCCTTAGTGTCCTATTAACTTTATATAGCACCAGGCATTCACAGATCCATGTGTGTGGCACTGAGTAATAGGCTTTCCTGTAGTCAGTCCAGGCTGTGCTCAGATAGGTCTGTCTAGACTTTGAGTCTCAGGCAACTGCTCTATCTATGAGCAACTGGTGTTTTGAGCCTCTGGTGTTGTTCCCAATGCCCTTCTGAGCTGTGGTCATATACTGGCTCATACGGTCCTGTAACTTGGCAGATATGATGCCTGATAGGATTTTCCATGTTGCGGAGAGGCAGGTATTTGGCCAGTAGTTGGATGGTGCTATTCCCTTGTGGGGGTCTTTCATGATCATCACTGTCCTTCATTGTGTTAGCCAGTCTGCTGCTAGCAGCTGGTTCATCTGTGCTGCTAGACATTCATGCGCTGTTCTTAGTTTCTTAAGCCAGTAGATGTGGATCATGTCCGGGCCAGGTGCTGTCCTGTTCTTCATGTTATTGACCCATTGTTGGATGTCTGCTATTGTGATGGTGACTGGTTCCTATTCTGGGAGATTACTGTGGTCTGCTCTCAGGTCCTGCAGTCACTTTGCATTGGTGTTGTGTCTTCTCTTTCTCCCATGTGTTTTTCCAGTGCTGTTCAGTTTCTGCTGTTTGTGGCTCTGCTCTTACTGTCTGCAGTTGGGAGTACACCTTGGATGGTTCTTTGGAGAACAGGGCATTTATCTTTGTGGCCTCTGCTTCTCTACTATATCTCCTTAGCCTGGTAGCCAGTGCTGAGGGCCTTTGTTTAGCAGTCTCTAGGGCTTCAAATGGAGTCAGGCCCATGTATTTTTTCAGTAGCTGAGTCTTATCCTTAATCTCCACACTGTTCTGTAGTTCCACCAGCTGACTGACTGCTCTTCGAGTTGCCTTGATCTTAGTCTCCAACCTCATTCTCTGGGGGCAGGGGGACGCGGATATGTACTGCTGTTCTTCTTGATTATGTAGCCAAGCATCTCCAGGATTACAGCAGCTGTAGCATATACCAGTTCATTGGTTTGAGTTATGGTGGTTGTAGGGATTGTCGTGAGGGCTCTATTGGCATCTTCTAGCAGACTATCTGATGGTACCTCTCCACTGAGCCTTGGTAATCAGTTTCAAGGGTTGACTGTAGCTAGTTTATCCATGTTCTTATGCCTCATATCAGCTGCTGTGCTCTGTAATGAACATCCAGTTGTTCTTCCAT